AATTCGGTTGCGTCATTATTTTTGCGGGGTATGCTACAAATGTCTTTAATAGTTGACCATAGCTTTTTGGGATTATTTTTATTGTCTTCTAGTTGTTCATTCTGAAATTTTGATTTAACTCTGTGTAAAAGTTCTTTTAGGAAGTTCCTGTAGCGTTTGTACGAAGTTTGAATTATGTAGTCATGTGGGTTCTTCCTAGCTCGCAGATGCAACTTGTCTCGTGTTTTTTGACACCTAATTAAACCGGGTGTGATCCAGGGTTTAAGGTTACTTTGAGATCTACCCGACTTGACTAGTTTGGAGTTATCTTGTAAGACTTGGTGTAATATTTTAGCGAAGGACTCGGCAGCCACATTTGTGTCGTTACTTACCAGCACTGCAGACCAGTCAGCAGAATTCAGATCAGAGAGCAAGTTTTGAGTGTTAGTAGTACGACGGATTTTTTTATTTGACGTTTGAGGCTTTGATGTAGATAATCCAGCAATGCATATATCGTGATCAGTAATGTTACTACTGCAAACGAGTCCCAGTGCCACGTTAGGCGTGTTCTTTATATAAATGTGATCAAGACAAGCAGTCTGTCGTGTAGGCACTGTGATTGCTGGGATCAGTTGGTGCTCNACGTTCTCTCGGTTCAGGGACTGTGATATTTGTGACCTAGATCATTATTTCTGCCATAGGCATATTTCTTTATTGCGTTAAATTGATTTGTGGAATTATTGGTTTCGGTTATGTAATAAATCGATATCTGCTGGTGCCGTACATTACTTTTAAAAAGCACTCTCACCTCTGATCCTTAAGAATAGTGTAATAAACCAAAGTTACTACGACATGTATACTAAACTCAGTCTGGACTGAGTTACGAGCATTAGAAGTTTGATGATTTTACATACTAGATTGGCTTTTTGCGCGCAAGTTTTGTAAGAAATTGCAACAAAATAGTGACGTCTTTTTTATTGTCACTATTTTGTTCAAACTTCTGATGCTCGTAACTCAGTTCAGACTGAGTTTAGAGGTACACATGTCATAGTAAGTTTGGTTTATTACACTATTTTGTAATCAAAAAATAAGGTTTGGTTGATGGTCGCGCGAAAAAAAAAAGACGCCACCTTCTATACAAAATCTGGCATTGCCATTTGTCTTAGCTACATGGATTACTTGTATATTCGAATAATTCCCTCCTTTCTGAATACCACGTTATCTAAGGCCTAACTTATCTTATTTTTCAGTCACGCAATCTGCGGGTATTTGGTCAACAAATATGGGAAAGATGACAGGCTCTACCCTACAGAGCCTAGAAAAAGGGCACTCATAGACCAACGCCTACATTTTGACAGCAGTGTATTGTTTGTAGCATTGAAGACCACCGTTGTAAGTTCTGTTTATTTAATACTAGCTTTACGATACGTCTAGCGCTTAACTCAGCCAGTGTCTGAAATAGGAGCGGCACGGGAGTGTATTTTCAACCGACTTCAAAAAAGGAGGAGGTTCTCAATTCGACCCGTATGTTTTTTTTTTCTATGTTTGTTACGCGATAACTCCGCCAATTATGAACCGATTTGAACAAATCTTTTTTCGGCGTATAGATAATACCTCAAGGGTGGTCCCATTTAAATTTAATAATAGAAAAAACAACCCCCAAGGGTGGAAAATTGGGGATGAACTTTTTTATACGCAATATCTCCGCCGATTATAAATCAATTTGAACGATTATTTTTTTGTTGAATAGGTATTATCATAAGGGTAGTTTCATGCGAATTTGAAGAAAATATTTCACCCCCAAGGGTGGAAAATTGGGGATGAACTTTTTTATACGCAATATTTTTAATTTTTAGATTTTTTGTGTTCACGCATTTGAAGTCGGTTTTATTTTTTTAAAAAGTTAATTATTGAGACGTCAAAAGTCAGCGAGACTTCAGATATGCTTCAGATTTGTATGCTCTGTCACGACATAAATTATGTCAATGTCACCCCTCCCGTGCCGCTCTCATACCTCAGGCACTGACAGAGTTAACCTCTGCTAGATACATTTACTATAGTCTTTTTCAGCTAAGATGATCCGTATGACACTTATCCATATTACGCATACTACATATGCAGAATATTTTTGAAAAAATATTTGTATTTCATTAGCAATATAATAAAAAAAAATTAACTACTTGTCTTGAAATATATAGTTAAATCTGAGTCTATTGATTATATTTAAATTAAATACGATGTAAAAATATTTTTTATTTAATGTACGCAATGTGTGAAACGGAATAGATTTAGTGCTGGGGTATTTGTTGTATAACAAAATCGATTATTTCCGCGGTTCATTAATCGATTGTAGTGATTACTTAGTTATTAAAAACATCTCAAAAATCAACTATATTTTTCGATTGTTGACTTTAATAAACGCATTGAAAATAAATTAATAGTTTTTAATTTTTTTAAAGAAATAGAACCAGAACTTTTTAGGAATCGTTTTTTTGAACTTCGTGTTCAAAAATTTCCATGTGTCCATGGAATTTGAATATTATCAATAAAAACCGGCCAAGTGCGAGTCGGGCTCGCGCACAAAGGGTTCCGTAGCAGCAAATATAATAAACTTATTATGTCAATTTAATCAACCTATCTCAAAAACTATAAGAGATACTTTGATCAAACCAAAAATCGTTGAAAGAGTTAATTAGCATGCATCACCTCTATTTTTTTTAGAATTTTATACCCCGTAGTTATAAAAATAGAGGGGGGGGGACATACTTTTTACGACTTTGAGAGCTGATATCTCAAAAACCGTTCACTTTAAGAAAAATGTTTTTTAGAAAACTTTATATCATTTTAAAAGACCTTTCCATTGATACCCCACACGGGTATGTACATCGAAAAAAAATTTTCATCCCTCAGTTACATGTATGGGGGGCCCCACCCCCAATTCTTTTTTTTACTATTTAGTGTCATAATTTTGTAGCGGTTCATACAACACATATTCCCATCAAATTTCATAAATAATTCAGGTTCTGTAAGAAAATATCCGCCGTGAAGTTGCAGGAAAATTATTAGCGCGATTTGCTTTCGCATAGTTGCGAATGTAAGGGTCCGGCTGTGAGAGTGCTTATAGTAAAACAGGCATCATTTAAAAGACTAAAATCATATAAAAAAATAAATCCGCATTGTTAAACTCCAGTTTGCATTAATAGTAATAAATAATAAAAAATCATTAATTTATTTGTATGAATTATTTTTGAAGTTGAAAAATTCCCACTGGACACCCTTTATTTCTTCTTCACTTCCCAATATTTCAATATACACCGGAAATAATATTCTACTAAGAATTCATAATTCATTTTTTTGTGTTTTAATGCCGGTTTTCTTTAATCAATCCTTATCAAAAACAACTGTCAAACGTCATTATGTTTTTGTTCAAAACATTAACGGTTTTCGAAGTTTTTACATAATTTCAGATTGAAATTTGAGAGTTGAAGGTCATTTTCGTTTTCGTTTTCGGCCGAAAATGAGACTGCAGCCGAAGCTTCGTTTTCGTTTCCGTTTTCGGCTGAAAAATCCATATTCGGTCGGACACTACTCTTAGGCCAAGATAGGCCCGGTTCCCACTACGCCGGACCGGAAAATTTGCCGGAAACCGGACGCCGGACAGAGTGTTCACATTACGCCGGATCCCACAAGAAAATAAGGCAGTTGACAAGTCTACTTTTATCAAAATGTCGGATCCGGGATAATGTGAATAGTTTCATATAATTGTATTGCCACTAGCCCTTCCAGGGGTTTTACTGGACCGACAGATTTGCCGGACGAGCCAGCGTAGTGGGAACCGTGCCAGTGGTAGGGTTAAAATATACTGGGACGTGTAAAAGTTATAGCCATAAAAATTAGAAACCTCTACTCCATACCTATTCAAAACCAATAAACAACTATTGGTATTCTGACAGTTTTAGACATTTCTAGAATAAAGTAAGAACAATTTCATTAGTGTTTCATAATATCAAACAATCTCCAAACAAACACTATTACTCTTGTTCAGATTCAGCCGTATCCCGTTTATTTGCAGTAAAATCTTCAAAACGTCACCATCCAGTTGTTTATTGCCAAAACCGTTGAATGCTTTAAGTCCATAATGGCCCTTATCTGCAAAGATAACAAAATTTGGAAGTAGGAAATTGGAAAACATGAATGAACTTGAAAAGGTTAACGTTTGTGAACCTTACTGTGTTGGGACAAAGCAGAAAATTGGAAAAGAACAAATTATAATGATACAGCTAAGGGTCTCAGCAGAAATGCTACTTTTAGCTTCTACTTGTAGTGTCGATGCTGATTTACGTTTTGGCGACTCTCTGCGTTCGACGATCGCAGTATCTGTTAACTTCTATCGAGAATATTCTAAAACGTACGATTCCGATGCTGCATCGATATGCAGCATCGCAATTTAGCGACTTCTTGCGTTCGGACGCGGTATCGGTGCTTTTGTTAGATCGGCAACACTCATAGCACACTAAGCCATCTTCGGGTGCCTAAAAGATAATGACAGAATAACATTACAATAAATAGATGTTTTACATAATACCCAAATACAGATGCCAAATCGATGCGATCGGTAATCCGAATGAGTGCGGAGTACTGCGGAGTGTAACATTCAGGTGTAGAGCTGCGTGTCGCGTTTAGCGTTTATAAGCATTTAGCCGCTTTTTAGAAGCATTAATTTTTAGAAGATAAGTCGCCGCTCGCCGATGCTTAAAGCAGCATGTCTGCGGTGGCCCTAAGGTGAAGGTTGTATTTCTTTTAATTTATTTTCAGATACCCGAAGCTAACAGCCTGGTTGAAGCGGTGCTCGGAACAAGAGTTCTACCAAAAGGGAAACGCGAAGAACATCGTTCTGTTTCGAGAGATGATTAGGAACAAGCTGGGTGCTAATTAGCGAATATTATTGTAAAACATGAATATTGTAATATTGTAACATGAAATAAAATTGTCGCATGTTATTGGAACAAAATGAGAAAGTTCGGTGTGTTCGCTAAAGGTGCAGTCAATTTTCGACCCAATGAATTAAAAGTAATAACGCTCAATATCACACAATAAAATAAAGTAAGTGAATAATGTTTTACGATATAATTTCGATTTCATTATGGTTTTAACTTTTTCTTTATGGTTTTAATTTTTTCCGTTAATAGCACCCATAACACAAGCATAGTAATTGCTCACTTTGGGGTTAGATGGCACTGTGTGAAATTTTCCAAAGATAGTAAAAATAATCGCGGGTCAACACACGTGCTCTACTATTTTACTTTTGACCTTCATAATGGAAGTGTTTTTACACAATTTTCCTCCTCGACAACTTTCAGCAATTAATAAAAATTTACCATACTAAAGTTACTTTTAATGATTCGATTAGGTTTCCAGGGGCTCAGATGAAATAATAGCATTATAGAGACTATATCATTAATTTAGATAACGTAGAAACGATTTGTCTCGTCCGAACTCATTTATTACAATTATTAATGATGCGAGGCTTCCTTCTAAAAACAATGATATTAATGATACAAAGTACGGACAACAGGTATTGGCAGTGTAGTTGGTTGATTAATATCTACTTTAGAATATTCTTGTGCGATTCTAAGCAAGATAAATTGGACTTAAAACACAATCGATGAAGGTAGTCTACATTCAAGCTTAGGTACCTTAGGTAGTGTATAACCCACGTTAGGTAGAACTTGTGCTTGGTGGATTTATGTTTTTATTTCTTACAATTATTAAGACTGAGTTACACCATTTTACTTTAACCGAAGCTGCAACCATGACTGGTGTTTTTTGTATGGAGTTTGACAGACTTTTGACGTTTTTTACTAAGCCTAAGACATTTTTGTTTGATACTACTAACCCCTTGTCAGAAAAACATAAAGCTGTAGGTGCAAGCAGGAGGCAATATTATAATCTTTATATACAAGTAAACCAGACTACTCAAATAGATGGAACACATTCGCTTTGAAAATGATTTTTATACTATTTAAGGTTCTTACGATGATGGGTAGATACCCATAAAGATTTATAGCAATAGGTAAATATAGACAAACATTGTGACATTTGCTATTGGATATGCCATAGTGGTTGGAACATACTCGTACATATGACTCAGAAACAGAACTTCATGAGTATTACGAGTAAAATTATGTTATTTATGCACAATACTTCCAAATTATCTATCATTAGCAATTAATTAGGCAAAACAAATACAAAATGAACATTTATCACTTTACCAGAACTACCAGGTTAGCATAAATCACCAAGAGATCACATGCAAATGAGCGAGCAGCTTCTAACTACAAGTTTAAACAGTCTGTGTCATTAACTCGATGCTAACGGTTGCAGCTAATGAATGATCAATTCTAACGGTTAAACAGTTGAACCGGGTTAATTTGGTCTTTTAAAACCATTTTCATTTATTAGAAGTCGGTTAAGAGAGGCTGCGGATATTTCTATTCTTCATTCTAAATAGTGATTTGAATTGGCAGAAATATGACGTCATAGCTCAGTTTTTTTATAACAGGTTTTTGTCTGCAATCACACCTGATGTTGAGTGAGATGCAGCCTAGGATGGTACACATCTGCCCTGTAAGTGTCTATTCACTCTCGCCTTGAAGAGGCCCGGATTATAGTATTCGGAAAAGGCAGCAGCAAGCAGTGAATACCAGTCCCTAGCTATTCACGTTAAAAAAGAGTTAATACGTTTTAGCGAATTTGCTATACAATATAAATGAGATATTTATGTTTTGAAAGCTCATAAAAAGTTTGTCAATTGACTGTGGTATCAAGTACCTAATTATAATGCTCTCTAATTTACCAAAAGCAAATTGAGGAGTTGGCCTACATTCTCAGTTAGGAGTTGCCACGAGTTGAGGAAAAAATAAAAACGGAAAAAAGAAAATCCTCAAACTGGGAACCAGAAAAATATTTATAGATGCAAAGTTCCAAATTTTTAGAATCGATACGAGCCTGGTTTCTGAATTGAATTTTTGGCTTGTAGGTATCTTCTAATTAACTATTTCATATTAAAGTCTTTAAGTGGATCAAGTTCAAGCTTGCTCAATCTAAACTCAGAAACCGGGCCTGTAACTTCAATACAATTTTGCAATCTAGTTGAGAACGTTCTTGGGTAACTAAAAAAATGCTCTGCCTCGTTGCTGTTTTGTCCATCATACGAGGTAACATGGAGTGACCAAATTCAAAGCCTATTTGAATTGAGACATCTCACAAGACCACTGGCCCACTCAAGCAATTTGTATGTTAAACCTGTCTTAGGACTGAAACGTTTGTATGTCTGTATTGAAACGTTATCCGGTGCCAGAAAGCGCATCCAAATTGCAAAGCCTAATACTAATCGCTTTGAGACAGTATACGAGTACTACTTTTGTCTCGTACCTACTGAAAATTAAGCTTGGTTTGGGATTGGGAATGAACTTAGAAACATAGACTGTGAAATGCAATAAAGTAATGAGTATTAACTTACGCCCGTATTCATAAACTTCTCGTCTCACAGTGCGCGTGGACGCACAGGGTGACATACGAACCAATCACAGAGCTCTATTCAACGCTGTGCGTTCGATTTGCTGCTTCACTTTAAGCAAGCATCGTTTGTGAATACGGGCGTTAGTGAGTTAGGTATTAGTTATTCTTTCGCTAAATTTTAGCTATAAGGTATTACTTATATCGAAGATAATTTTAATAACATATTAAGTCGTGCAACAGGAATTGAGGCAATCAACACAAACAAAGATTTGTATATCTGTATACGCTCGTCGCGCTGACGTTTTGCGTATTCTGACTGATTTTTGTGTTCTGTATTCAAATACTACATCAGTGTGAGTATATTCGCCTCAACACTCATTGCGCGACCTATAAACTTTATTATTTGAAATAAAGAGAATGAAGTTCCTGAAATCGTTTTGAATATTACGCGTGTTCTGGTTTCCAACTTCAGGCAAGAAATTTAAAGACGAGGCGTGGGTAGTTTATACCCTTCTAAAGAGTTATAGCCAGCTAAAAGTACTTCAAAGTTATTTAGAGGTGATGTTTATTTTAAAGAGCGTTTTCGATACTAAATAACTTGAAATAAATTCAGACCGGTTGTGTTGGAAGAAATAACTTAACTAAATTAAATTTATTTTTGGAAATACAAATGCTCACTCTAAACTTTTTAAGGTGCTAATACTGTGTAAAAATATTCAAAAATCATATTTTTTATGCGTTCAGTGCGAGTTTACTTTACTGCTTTTCATTATTTCGTACACAGTACAAAATTTTCCACAATTACTATTTGAATTAAAACATTTCAGAGGCTTACCTTTAATAATAAACTTACTTAGTTTGTTTTCTCTTTGAGGAAAAATATAAGACAATTCCAAACAAAAAAAATATGTTAAAGAAAATCACTTATCATTCTAAAAATATTTTTTTCTAAAATAATTAATTTATTGGATTTACTAAAAGCGTCAAAATATTGATAAGAAAAGAAGTTTTTCGTGGAATTAACTTTTAACTTTCTCTTCAGACACCATTCACTCGTAATCTCATTAAAATCACTGTCAATTTGTCATTAACGATTATTCAGATTCGGACATCATTAAAAATCGTTCGAAAAATTTTAGCGAACCTGCCAATTTCGTTAATGGCCAATTAATAAAGATACGAAATGCATTTAATGGGTCTTTAAAATTAATTTAATTAATTTATTGTGCTTTGTCCCAAAGGGACCTCAATGGGCTATAAAAAGATATTAATTTGCCTTTCAATTTGCATAATTTCTTGATAATTAGCGGGTAAATATTTTGGAAGCATGCCAGTGTAGTNACAACGAATCTCCTCGTTGATTGGACTAGTGCATGAAGTGGCTAAGCGCTCAACAATTTGTATATGTATAATATGTTTAAAATTTTAAGGAGGCTCTAGTATAAGAATATGTCAGACATGTGTCAGATACGACCGCTTATTTCAATTTAACCCTACGGTGGTCGCGCTCTAAAATATTACGTTAGTGGTCGCGCGGATTACATGCGTAAGCCATTTTATGGAGTAAAAAAAGAAGACATCTCTTTATAAAAACCTGTTTCTTTATTTTTTATATTTATTATTATGTATTAGTTAATGAAAAAATCAATCAAAGAAACGAGCAGTTCCTCTCAGTGTTTATAAATTAACCAAAACATAAAAATCATCATTTTTCATCAAGAAAATGGCAACTTTGGCAGTTCATGAATCATTCAGTACTAATTGCACTTATTTATTAATCATATTTTGAACAGGAGATACAGGCCATCATGGAATGATAAGGACAAATAAATTTGTTGCACGAATTACAAGTATTACCAGTACTTTGATTTCGCTTTCTTCCGCAGTCAAAGTAGCGACCTAAAAAACTCCGTTGTGATGGTTCTGAGTTAGATGGCTAATCACTGGTCTGAGAAACTGGTTCTCTTGTGGAAGAATGTGCACTTCTTCATCAGAAACCGAAGAGTCGCCAGAAGAAACGCTTTCATTGTCAATTACTTCTAGCCATTCTGCAATTTATGGTTTTTGTCTATTGTTCATGATTTTTATCTCAAATACAATGATTTTATTGAAAACATTAATGTAAATACATACCTATGCCGTAGTTATTTATTATAAAGCATTGATTTACACTAATAATGCAAAAACAAACACATTAAGTAAAAAAGGTAACTTAAAAAATACTTACGTAATTGGTCGCGCGGATTACACGGGTAGACCATCGGCATTTACGGGGCTCCTGTGACACATCCACAAGCGACCTGGCACTCACACGTCATTAAGTGTGATCTTCGACTATGCAACTTAAAGTACACGAAGTATCAAAACGATCGCGTTGACCGATTTCAAAATATTCGACAATTTGCACGAGTGGATTACGGGTGTAATCCGCGCGACCACTGTA